AATAAAATTCTATAAATTATAGAAAAATAAATTCTAATAATAAATGTTGACAAAATAATTGATAAAGAAAAGCAAATATATATTCTATCTAACTATGAAACAAAGATATCTAAACGGAAAAATACTTCGTTTTTCTAGCTCGTTGCAATTCTGGACACGATAACTCGAGTCTTATAAATGCAAGTGCTCACTAAAAGCTCGCGCGAATGAAAAACTATATAATTAACGTTCTGGCTTCTCAACATGGAAAAATCCTTTACAGTTTCATTATTGATTGTACCATTTCGATATTAAATGTACCCTGCAATTACATATCGATAATCAAAAGAAACCGTTTCCGCCATACACGATTATTTCCTGCTTACGCTGTTATTATCGCGGGGTTATCGTAATGCAAGTTACAGAACTGAAATCATGTGTTTTTCCCAAGTAAAAACAGTGTTACAAGAATTGAAAGATAACTCGCAATAAGATCACTGTCAAGGTCTAAATAATTTTATTAATCTATTAAGACAGGCAGAATTTATATTAAATATGGCAAATTGAAGAGGCGCGGAACGATCATAGATACAAAGAAATATGGATGTTACTTGCTAAGTAAATTTGTAAATTAAAGTCTTGACATATCTATGACAAATGTTATTATTTAAGAACAGTAAGTAAATGTTTTATGGCAATTTATTGATTTATATAAGCATTGCCTGTATAATATAATGATAAAATTGAACAATTGCCTGTACAATATAATGATACAATTAAAAAATTATTTTATTCACAAATTTTTGCGAATTGTTCATTCTATCATTTATTCGCAAAACTGCGCGAATAAAATAAGGGTAACAAATAAAATTACAGTACACAGTAATTTTACTGCAAAAAATGTAGATAAGTGTGAAGTGCAGATAAATTTTTGGAAGCATAATTAAACGCGATGCTTATCGACAATTCGGTGTAAAATTTCTTTTGAAGTTTACGCGAACGTACTATCGCAGGAAAAAGTGCCAGGAGGTGCCAATATAATAAAGTGCCGATACGAGTGAGCGCTATATAAGATGATCGCGGCATCAGCTGAGTCAGTCATTCTTTCGCAGACTGCGACAACATCAGGATCATTCGGTTTTTACGCGATACGGTGGTGATATATAAATAACAAGTTATACATATAAGCATTACTATTTCACGGTTTTTCCGCGTTGACTTACTTTGTCGACGATACAATCAGAAAGATGGATATTAGGATCTTCGCGCTGGTTGCTCTCATCGCTGTCCTGGGATCCTTTACGGAGGCCCGATCCCCCTTTGGTTATCCTTACGGAAGTGAGTAGCGATCGTGGAGCTCTACTTTTCTCACTCATGAGCGAATTTAACAGTTTTCTACTTGTTTACTAACGTAATATTGTATGCTCGCACACCCCAAATTTTTGACATTAATTGTTTTCCACAGTCCAGATTTTACAATTTAATTACAAGTTCAATATTAATTTACTTATTGTGAGAATATCTTTAATTTTTATCATAAATGTTAGCTACTAGAGCCAATCTACTGACACTGTGAGAACAAGATGAAAAGATAAAGTACGTATTAAGAAGCATTACATTCATCAGAGTTCGAAAGAAATCATAAACTCAATGCGCAGCAACACTTTAGTTTTTCTTTAATCATTTTTAGCGGATAATCTTTTTTAATGTTGTTTTGTACAATAATATGTATTACGACATCTATACAAATTCGAGCTGGTTCTACAATGCCAATGGTTAAACAACTAAAATTATTTGAAAGAAATCGCATGTCGTACACAAGATTGATAAAAAGTAAAGCCGACGTTAAGTTACATAATGGCAACGGTCGTGTATTTAAGCAGAAATAGCTGACGGTGCGCGGGAATTTCAGGATAATTGCAAGATTAACAAACGCGGCAAAGGTCTACGACGAATTCGATAACACACTGGATATATGATTTCATAATTTTAATCAACGCCGAAGCGGATGTCTGCCATCTGGCTGCTGACATTCTCTTTTTATATAAACATGCAGAAATTACAATTGTTAAAGAGATACTTTGAGGAATGAATGGCGCGAGATGACAATCTTTTATTTACGACGTTACTTCTTTGCTGTAGACAGATTAATAACTCGCCCAAAATCTTTGCAAAGACTGCCAATGACTCGTCGTTAAGTCACTGAACAGCATTTTTCAGTAGTTTGTGACGATTTATAATACGACTTATGATAATTTATGTAAATTTGTTGATTTACGTGATAGAATATACGCACTTAGTTTCTCTCTATGTTTCTTATTGTTGACTATCTGTTATAATATTAACAACATTTTTGTTTAAAAAAAGAATTTCGCAATTGTTAAAAGCGTGAGCAATATTAATCGTGATAACCAAGATTGATGTTCACATGTGCAACCATGCGCTTCCCGTGATGCAGCATGCTCGCCTGCGCATATAAACACATGCGTAACTGCTCACACAACTGCTAGCCAAATGAAGATAATTTGACGCCCGCAGACCGTGACCTCATTTTGTTCTTCACCTTGACCCATGAGAAGATACTTTCTTTTCACTATCTTCTCATGATCTCTCGTGCACGACACGTTTATTCCTATCATGTTAGTAAATATTATAAAATATACGGCGTCAATTGACATATCAAGATGTGCCCACTTCTTTTTAAATAGGAGAAATTTATCAGTGAAATATATTCTAATGTAAAATGGAAATTTATATAATATGTGTATACTTATAGTAATGAAATAATCGAATAAAATAGGAAGGTAAGTTAAAAGCGTTTTAATAGCTGTATTTAAATATAATGCTTATAAATGAAATGATATAAGATAAAATATACCAAGTAAAAATTATTTTTCGGACGTGTAGCATGTTATCGAAGGAGGAATGCCGCAAATACGTGGTTTATCAACTTAACGTGACTTGCATATCAGTACAGTTAATGTCACGTATCGCGCATAACTGAATTATTATTAATTTTTACCTACAATCAAGCTGAAAATGAAGCACGGGTTGTTTACAAACTTTATTTTAATTGGCAAATATTTTTTATAATTTAATAATAGACAGTTAGTATTATAAGTAGTTTAAGATTCTGACTTAAAAAAATACCAGGATTTGTCGTATATTTTATATCCATGTTTCACATCGTTTCCCAAATGTTCGTTATATGTTATACAACATTTAAATTGCATATCTGTGCACCACAATACCTTTTGCAATATTATGATTAGTAACACATCCGTTTAATGTTATCCATTATCTGTTATATTCAACATTATAATTGTGTGTGATTGTGACTAGTAACATTTCTGGCATAGTATTGCGTATCTTTGGTGATGGAATTCCGAGATATGGCCACAAGGAATGCCACAACTAACAATGCTATCTCAACCAGTTGCCGAGAATCATCAACCATACGAGCTTCGTCTCAGTAGCGACAATGTATAAAGAATTGTTCTTCTGTTTTCGTTTCTTCTCGAAGATGGAGGACTACGCGTCGACAGACCGTCGGCCAGTTTCGCCGCGATGTCCAGGTTGAAGCGAGCAGTCGATGATTCGAATGGTGAGAGTACCACCACTCAAGCTACAACGACCTCCTCGACAACTGATCCCACAACCACACCATCATCAACCACACCATCATCAACCACACCTCCTACAACCCCGTCCACAGAGCCAACCACAACACCTACCACCACCACCACCACAGAGGCGACGTCTCCCACGACCACTCCGACCTCCACTTCCGCCACTACTCCTACTACTACTTCAACAACCCCATCCACTACACCTAGCACGACAACTTCGGAAAGCACGACACCGACTTCTGAGCCGAAGAATCCAAACGACATTCAATCACGTTTGAATACCGACGCACCCGAACCCGAAGACTCCAATAAGAAACCTGGACCATCCAAGGACGGTGCGCCAACTCCTGGACCATACTTTGGCGCTCCTGGATTCGGCTTTGGCGGTTATGGTCCAGGTTTCGATCCCTATTTCGGTTATCCTGGATTCAACTCTATACCAGGTTATAGCCCAAACTATGCGTGGACTGGTACAAACAACGGGCCAGGATACGCGTCTGCAGGCTCGTCCGCCGGAAGCTTTGGGTATCCGGGAATGGGATATCCAATGGCGTTCCCCACGCCGTTTCCCACAGCGGGATCACCAACGGCATTCCCGACGGGATCACCGTCTTTCGGTAGTCGAGGAGGATTTCCGGATAACTCACCGAACCAGGATAATTCACTAAACAAGGATAACTCACCAAACCAGAACGGATACAATTTCGGCGGAGGTACGAGCATGCACCCAAAAATCCAAGGATGAAGACTGACTCAGGATAGTGGAGAATAATGAATGAATTGGGGTTGCATGCTGTAGTTTGGACGTTTCTCGATGTTTGTAAATGTTCAGCAAAAAGATGAAACCAATTGGATATCGAAGGCAAAGGAGAGACATTATAATTATGTATCTCAAAATTTGTTTGGCGAAGTCGTGCTGATATTCTTTCAAAAATGCATGATGTTCTGTCGAACAAAATTGTATTTTATGTTTAGCGACTAATGTCGTGATAATAGTTTTCGACATTTATGTATTTATTTATTATATGCGCGCGTGTTTGTACATTTATATATATTTTTATTTATTTATCATATTTATTATATTTATTTTTGTATGTGTGTATGTATATAATTATTTATTTATTTCTTTATATAGGTGTACTTATACTTAGATAGTCTATGTAAATTTATGTGATTTATAACTGAATATAATCGCATGTACATGCATGATTTTCACGCGACATAGACACATATGTCGTTATTTGTATCTTATCGTGTACTCTGTTTTTCGCAGATCCGTTGTATAACTCAGGATCCGGACTCTTTTACCCAGGACAATTTCCTAATTACAACGATCCCACTTTTGACATGATTAAACAAATTCAGGCGCAAATCGAGGCGCAACAACAGGCGTAAGTCTTCGTATAATAAATTGCAAATGGCTGATCTTCACACTTCGGAGCATAAATTTGAGTGGAATTTTCTGAAATCATATTCATGAATTTGCATTTACAATTGCACTTATACAATTTCAATATTGTGTTAACATTTAACACATTACAGAATTTTTCACATCTATAATTTTTTACACAATTAAAATAAGCCTCTTTCTTTCTTCAATTACATTCTAGATTATTTTTAACAAGTATGCAAGAAACATTTAAAAATATATATTAAATTTAAAGTAAAACTTTTTAGGTAAAAAATTTTATTTTACATATTCTATACAGCATTATCTATATAATTAATTACTATAAAATTTTGTATTTTACACTGTTTACGCTTTCAGTGACGTTTTTTCTCATGGTATATCATTTCGCTTTAAGAATCATTCGTAGTTTTTTGTGATGCAGATCGAGGAGAAGCATTCGCATCCATGAATATCTTTAATTATTATTTTAAAATGTGAATACAATTTATTATATTTCCTAAAGCACATCGTAAACAGAAATTTGTGTTGTACAGCACTATGGATTTCCACAATCGTTTAGCCAATGAAGCCGCTAATTACGGGAATTACGGTGGCGGCACACCGCAGATTTCGAGCGCCAGCATAGGCTTAGGTCCATACGGTGGTTTCCAATCTGGCCAAATCAGTCCCGTGAGTCTTACGCTTCTTCATGAGTTATTACAGCACAACAAATGGCAATACAGAAATTGTCCAGTTAATATGCTTCATTTTGCACACAATCAGATGCCAGTCTTCTCAATATAGTCTTTATTACCGGCGCTCTCTCCATCATAGGCTGCTCCAGGAATAGAGTCCAGATTTGCCGAAGATCTTCCTGCGCCATCGGGTAATAGCTACGGAGTATTTGCTAGTTCTAGTTCCTCCAGCATGACCGGTCCGGATGGCAGGCCGATTAATCGTAAATCGTCTATTACTGGCGTTAATGACAACGGAAGAATTTCTTTCCGCACTGTGCATGATTAATTAAACTTTATCCCTAATTATATCTATTTTTATAATCATTAATTTACTATTGTGTGTTGTATACAGTGTTACTATGATAACGATAAAGTTTTATATAATTCAAAATTGATGTTGCAAAGTAAAATTGTGACACAGAATTTTCGAAACTCAGGCTCAAATATTTCCTTAAGATTGCCATACAAATACTCAAGTTTTTTTTTAGAATTAATAGATTCTCTCTATAAGATTAAAGTTATCACTTTTATATGACTTTCTATAATTGTTGATAGCTTGATCTTTTTCTACCTGTTCGCGAGCAAGAATTGCTTGCGATGCCAATTTAAAAATCTTAATAAACTTTCTTGTACTAGTGTTATGTTCTACTCGAGTAATATCGAATAAATGTACAACTATTCTGCATTTAATTACTTGTTTAAATATATTTATGTTATCATATATTCATTGTATCTATTATGCATAAATTAAACTCTTGACGCTTTTATGATGTTTTAATTTTATTCAGAGACAAATTGTTCTTAATAATATGTGATATAATCCACTATCATTCTATATAATAATATATTTACATTGAAGCCTTACAATTCAAACTATTTTATTCTTTGGTATTGTCGCTGGGCTTGGTCTTACTAAGCGGCGGTTCAATCTTGTCGTCTACTGTAGGTTTATCTCGCGGCCATGTTCTATGATCCTGAAATCCCACGTTACCACGATCTCCAAGATGATAATTCCAATACATTTGCGGCCGTTGAAAAGTCCGCCCATACCAAGGCTCGCCGTACCCTTGATAATTAGTTTGAATCTATTATGATAAGAAAAAAATATACTCTTTTTAAATATCGACATATTACAAGAAAATTTTTGAGCTCACGTTAGGTGATTTATATAATTTTTGTCAAACTGATAGGAAGATGAAATTTCATTTGTAATTTTATATGATATGTAATATAAAAAATATTTGAAAATAACAAAATACATATACAAAATAAGCTAAATATTTTAAAATACACAAAATATTCAAATACACGGTAGATAAACTTATTAGTGAAGACTTATCTAAAATGTCAGCGTAAATTATAGATCGTAAAACATGAATTTTAACCACACTGAAA